AGTCCACCCTTTAACTAACTACACAACTCAACTAAACCCTGCTAAAATATGCCAGTTAAATATGTGTATTTGTGTTCATTAGGCCGATGCCGATAGTAACCTGCGCAAGGCACGTCATTTGTACGTGAGCCGCTGTGAGGAGTACGAGAGAGCTCGGACAGTAGCCAATAAGGTTGAAGAGGAACAAAGTGGAACCACTAAAGCTTTGGACAAGAAGAGACGACTAGAAGAGGAAGCACGCAACAAGGTCAGCGAGCTCAAACAGGAAACATGAGCTAATGTCACACATTTGCTTGTGTTACTGTGTTTTTGCGGTCACTTGCAGGAAACCAACATTTTGTTAAATGAATTCATATTAGACTCTTATATTTTATTTTTGTCATAAAATTTGATCATTTTAATTATTATTCTAATTTTTCTTTGCGATCTTGTAACATGTATTGCACAAAATCAAATGAAGTCAATACAAGTCTATTTTCGGATCATAGGATTTTCATAGTATTTTTTTTATGATGCAAAAAACGCTGATAAAGCCCAGTGGGCCGATACGCGTTGGTGTTTTTAATGGTTTAGCCCTCGATCGTATAATAAAGGCTTTTTTACTTTTGTAACCCTGAGTGCCTGAACTTGGATTTCTTTCCAATTTTTATGCCTTTAATTTATGTTTTAACTTAAACCTTAAATATATATACATATTACAGTAATTGGAATCACCACTAGAAAAACCACCAGACTAATAAGTTTTATTAAGTATTAGAGTAAAAAATGTCACATGAAAGTGTCACAATGCAATGAATGTTTTTTAAAGGAGTAGTTCACTTTAAAAAAAACTTTTGCCGATAATTTACTCGCCCCCATGTCATCCAAGATGTCCATGTCATTCTTTCTTCAGTCGAAAAGAAATTAAGGTTTTTGATGAAAACATTCCAGGATTTTCTCCATATAATAGACTTCAATGGGGTCCAAACGGTTCAAGGTCCAAATGAGAGTTTCAGTGCAAACTGTTCAAAGGGCTTTAAACGACACCATATTATGGGTCTTATCTAGGACCCTTCGAGTCATGACTCGAAAAAAGATTCGTTCATTTTGATGAACGAGTTCGAACGGGAGAGTCACGAACGCGCATCACAGAACAGAGCAAGGCGAGCATTTGTGCTTATAAAACTTAAACTTTGTTATTTATTTTTTCAAATGAGCGATCGTTTCGCTTGATAAGACCCTTATTCATCGTCTGGAATCATTTAAAGCCCTTTGAAGCTGCACTGAAACTCTCATTTGGACCTTGAACCGTTTGGACCACATTGAAGTCCATTATATGGAGAAAAATCCTGGAATGTTTTCGTCAAAAACCTTAATTTCTTTTCGACTGAAGAAAGAAAGACATGGACATCTTGGATGACATGGGGGTGAGTAAATCATCAGCAAAAGTTTTTTAAAAGTGAACTACTCCTTTAAGCAAAAGTTCATTGCGCACTTGTTTTTACTTTTAAATTTTCATAATAATTAAGGCGACTAATTAGTTTTCATGATATAACCCATTTAAGACAAGCAAGCTAGGGGAAGGACCATGTGAAGTCTTAGTGTGTGTGTGTGTGTGTGTGTCCGCAGGCGGAGGAGGCCGAGGCGACGTATCGCACCTGCATCGCGGACGCCACGACTCAACAGCAGGAGCTGGAGGACATGAAGGTGAACGTGCTCAAACAGATCCAAGAGCTCATCAGACAGACAGACCAGATCCTGCGAGCGGTGAGAGATTTGCATCAGCATTCAATTCACTTTTATTGTAATGCAAAAAAAAACAACAACTCCATTCCCATTGTTTTAAAGGTGCGTTGCGCAACATTTCGTGTTAAAAATAGCCGTTTTTCTAACCCAGACATGCTTCTCTGATCACTGCGATCGCCTCTGTAATCCTGTACAGTAAAATAAATAAGAGGGAAATAAATAAATAAATAAATAAAAATATGTGCGTTCACGCTCGCCTGGCTATGTCTGCAAGTTTGTGTATTCACCGCCATTCTCTGAATCAGCGAAGACAACTCGAGCGACAAAACTTTAGTCAACTTACAAAATAATAATTTATATTGTTCATGAACGTGTTTCCATAATAATACAATCATAAGTGGATACATAAAACAGTTCAACATGGAGATATATGGAAACAAAAACCGAAGTTTTTTGTGTAAGTGTGTAATTTACTCAAATGCCTTTCCTTTCATATATTTAAAATGACTTGCAGATTTATAACTTTATTACCTCTGGAGACATTATGATTGTAACAAAAGATGTGTGCGGCTGATGCTCCTTTGGTTATGAACAGCTCGCGCAAGCGTGCGTGTCTGTGTGTGTGTGGTCCACACCTCAGGTTGCAGTTTCGCTTGTCGCCAGAGGGGGCGTAGTTCTGCAAAAACTCAGAGACTTGCGCAATGCACCTTTAAAATTAAAAAAAGTGATATTGTTCCCAAAAACAGTATGCTATCACACACTTACTGTAAACCCAAAGTATACTTCAGCTGTCGGTGATCCGCGCACTGTCCACATGATGTTTTCATTATCCCATAAGTTTCATAGGCCCATTTCGATAATTACTGTATTGACTTATCGCACGATATATATGGAAATGACCGCGATACGTTTTGGTGACGTGATATATTGCCCATTGTGTTTACATTCGTGTTTGTTAATAGAGCCAGACCGATATATCGGCCGGCCGATATTAGACATTTTCCAAAATATCGGTATCGGCAGTTATAATGGCAGATAAATGAATATTTCAAAAATAAAATAAAAACGGACAAACCTCGCTTTAATCATCTCTCCTTGGCCTGTTATATTGAAAATGTATGTTTGATCTATGATGTTATCTATTGCTAAATTATGGCTCATCATAGACTAGCTAACCACAAAGTTAGCTAATGCCACTATCATCAGTGGAAGACCGCTAACGTTAACATTAATGAGCTTGGAAACCACAATGAACTTTTTCTGCCTAATTAAAGTAATGATTACTGTATTTATAACTAGCATATCTCTAGTTACAGTCCCTGCATTGTAAAATGTAAGTTATACTTGCGAGGAGTGAACATTTAGAGATCGAGAAAAAGTATCAAACGTATCTTGTGCAGAAAAGTTCGCTTTTCTTTTACACACGTGTGTGAAATCCAACAATATTTAATAAAAAAAAATATCGGCCGATATATCGGATTTTAAAACCCAAAAATATTTGTATCGGTATCGGCCTTCAAAATCCTTTATCGGTCGGGCTCTATTTGTTAACATAAAAATTAATTACACAAGCATTTATCAGCAAGTGCGGAGGCAGGGCTCAGTTCGCATCTCCACACACACACACAGAGCAGACAGTGAGAAGGGAACTGAGTGTGTGTGATTACCTGCGTCTGTCATTCTTCATGTCAAGTCATATATTTGTGAAAAAAAAATCAGTTGTCAGAAGACGAGAGCGATATCTTTGTCGTAATATCCTTTCAACGTTTAAGGGGATTTCCCATGACATCGATCTCAAACTGTCACCGTCCCACAGGTGGGACGCTTGCCATTATATTTTTAAAACAATAGTATCTTAGAAATGATGATATTGACAAACTATATATGATTTGAAAGCTTACAATCTCTAGTTTCCATATGTGGTGACTGATTTTCAAAATAATTTACACAGGAGCCGTAATTTATCAATTTGCAACAAGAATATTTTCATACTCAGAAAGCGTGTTCAGACCTTTATTTTGAAATAGCAAAGAAAAATCATGAAAAAAAGTTAGAAATCTCAGTTTGATTTCATGCCAAGAGTTCAAAAGATTGCATCCATTCAGAAATAAAGGAAATGTTTTAAATAATACGAAAAAAAAAATAGGTTCACCATTTGTGTTATGGCAATAAGCTATAACACGCATGCGTGTTCTTTGTATGTGATTCCTAGAGGTTGAATTTATATCAAAATCTGCCAAACTTCCCATACTACTTCTGAATAGGATTTCTACTTCATAAATCGTGTGAAATTTGTGAAAATAATGGTTCAGATCACTCAAAACACATATGGAAATGGAGGCGCCCTTATATGGGCAGTAATGGAGTCTGGTTGTGCCCTAGTGGAAGCGTTCGGTACTGCGCCCAAACTAAATCTCCCTGAAAGCTCATTCTTTGAGATATCAACCTAAAATTTTAAACATAACTTGTTCAGATTTTTGGCTTTGATTTTTCTGCAGTTTTAGAGTAGCCCAGGTTTTGAAAATATATATTTTATATAAAATATGAATAATTATTTTTTTTACATTGTACATTTCCATAAACTCAAACTTCTCTAACTTTTTTTCTGTTTCACTTTCTTAATTTATTTCACTTCGAGAAAAATCTGCCGAATGTCTTCTTTAAAACGAGACCAATCTTAAGTCTATTTTCCAAAGCATTCTTGAATTACAACCATTTAAGTTTGAAATGTGCATTTCCATGTCTATTCAAAAAAGGGTGGGGATGCTTCAAGTTCATTTCTGGAAAACCGAACCGAAAGCCTCGTACCGAACCGTTTAAAGCTTGATTCATGTGGTCAGAATGATTTCGTGTTTTTGGTGTTTAACGCATCCTCTTCCTCTCTGTCCAGTGCACCATCTCGTACTATCAGACGATGCATGTTCAGACGGCAGTGCTGCCGGTGCATTTCCAGACGCTCTGTGAGAGCTGTAAGCTGTATGACCCGGGTCAGCAGTACGCCTCGTACGTCAAAAACCTGCAGCTCCGCACAGACCTGCCCGTACAGTACCAGTTTGAGCCGTACTCTGCGTCCAGCCACCAGTAAGAGCAACTCCTGCCCTGTTAAAACACATCATTGTTAATGTTCAGAATGGGATGTTGGCATACTGTAATCATTTTTATCCTAATCAGGCATGTTCGAACCCGGAACAACAGCTCTGAAGCTCCGCCCACCTCAGAGGAGGCAGGATTTGGAGAAGGGGGCGTGGTTAAACAAAGACGAGGTCAAGGTCCGTAAACACACAACATATGTTACCTTCTCAGTGTGATTTTTATCATTGCAGTCACAATATTTATGGTATTTGATGTCAGAATGAATAGAGTGATCATGTGGATGTGATTTGTCATTGCAGGGAGAGACCATCATCAAGCTCACAAGTCCTGGCCGTCCACACTGAGTGACACTGACAGTGTTGGTCCAGGAAGTGGACTGGGTTCCCCGACCTCCAGCACGGGTACGAAACAAAACCAGATCAGTTTACTGTGTTCTTGACCTTTCAGCATTATTACAGATTATTTCCAATACAAGTGTTGAATTATTTTGCTCAAACAGTGAAACATCTGGATTAAAGGAGTAGTTCACTTTTAAAAAAAACTTTTGCTGATGATTTACTCGCCCCCATGTCATACAAGATGTTTTTGATGAAAACATTCCAGGATTTTCTCCATATAATGGACTTCAATGGGGTCCAAACGGTTCAAGGTCCAAATGAGAGTTTCAGTGCAGCTTTAAAGGGCTTTAAACGACACCAGACGATGAATAAGGGTCTTATCAAGCGAAATGAACGGTCCTTTAAAAAATAAATAAAAAAGTTTACGTTTTATAAGCTCAAATGCTCGCCTTGCTCTGTTCTGTGATGCGCGTTCGTGACTCTCCTGTTCGAACTTGTTTGTCAAAATGAACGAATCTTTTTTCGAGTCATTTCATTCGCTGAATGAACCAAATGACTCGAAAAAAGATTTGTTCATTGGGAGCTAAAACTCTCATTTGGACCTTGAACTGTTTGGACCCCATTGAAGTCCATTATATGGAGAAAAATCCTGGAATGTTTTCAGCAAAAAACGTAATTTCTTTTCGACTGATGGACATCTTGGATGACATGGGGTCGAGTAAATTATCAGCAAAAGTTTTTTTTTAAAGTGAACTACTCCTTTAAGAACAATCTACACACAAAAATAGACAAATATTTAAAATATACACAATCATCTAGGAGTCTACATATAAAGCAAATCGGTGACCTTTGAAATCTCTCAGTTCAACACCTCGGAATGGTTTACGGTAGTAAAGTAAAAACTTTTTTTATAAACCATAATATTGTATAATGTTTTGGTCTCAGGTGACATCTCAAAACCTTCAAGGCCCGTTTCTGCAGCCACCTTGTCGTCCAATGAAGATATAGAGGAGAGAGACGGCACCATGACCCCATTTGAACAAAGTGAGTGACTGAATACAGTTTAAGGAAACATTCGATATTTATTGCCACAGATCTGACAACAACTGAACCACAATCTCTTCTGAAATTCTGGAGGAAACACAAGTGAAAATACTGGGGTCTTTTTCAAATGAGAAACTTAAGCCAAAGTCTCAATTTGCTCTCCATTTAAGACGAGACACTACAAACAAAACCAGTTTGATTTCACATTTAAGTGCTTATTTTATGACACTTTACCTATTTGTACCCATAGATTTCACATGTAATATATATATTGGTCATAATTTAGTTTGGGGAACACATATTCACTATTAGCTACGGGTTTTTCCTCAATAAACTCCTAATTTACTGCTTATTAATAGTTTGTAATGTAGTTGTAGTGGTTAAATTTAGGCTTTGGGCAGATATAGAATATGTTCATGCCGAATAAGGCATTAATATGTGCTTTATAAGCCGATATGCTAGTAATACGCAAGCTAACTAGTTTATAGTGAGAAGTGGAGCTCAAACTAGTGTTTTTTCTCTGCATTCAACTGATGTATTTAACGTTTTATTCCTAAAAACATGTTGAAAATGTTTTCTTTTTCTTGCTGTTGATAGTAGTTTCTGATTTATAAAAAGATAAATCCAAAATCCCTTTTGCTCTTATACTGCATGTCAATCAAAAAAAGAAACTTTGATTTTGGCTTTAGCAAATGCTCAGATTTTGATCCTGCATTTTTAATTAGATAATGCTTCATTTGCTTATCTAAACAGTTTATGTTTAAAGAAAAAGACCTGTATTTAATCAACCCAAGTGATATCTATTAGTTAAGCAGTGTCCTGCCTTAAACTCATTGCTGTCTAGGAGAAATAAAGATATTGACGAGATCTTGTTTAGTGGATCTAGTTCAGTGTAGTGTATATGATGATTGTGTCTGGATGTTTGTTGTGTTTTAGGTATTAATGGGATTGAACCAGAGAGCGTGGTGCCCACTGGACCTTTCAAAAATGTGGGATTGTCCAAAGCTGCAAAAACCCATCGGCTGCGCAAACTGCGCACGCCATCAAAGTGCAGAGAATGCGACAGCTACGTTTATTTCCAGGGCGCAGAATGTGAGGAGGTGAGACTGACCAATGCATTTACACTGTTGAGAGTATCACACAAAACTGCAGATCTATAATACCTGCAAATCAACTGTATTTGTGAGGTTACGCGCTTTACAGCTCTACAGAGCTTTTAATATATATATATGTATATATATATATATATATATATATATATATATATATATACACATACACATACACACACACACTACCGGTCAAAATTTTCAGATCAGTAAGATTTTTATGTTTTTAAATTAAGTCTCTTCTGCTCACCAAGGCTGCTTTATTTGATGGAAAAAAAAATGACAAACAGTAATATTGTGAAATATTATGACAATTTAAAATGAATATTTTCTTTTTTAATATATTTTAAAATGTAATAATGTAATTTGGATTACTGTTGCTGATTACACATCAGTTTTCAGTGTCACATGATCCTTCAGAAATCATTCTAATATGCTGATTTTATGCTCAAAAAACATAAATTATTATTTTCGATGTTGAAAACAGTCGTGTACCATTCCCCCCCCCCCAAAAAAAATTCTATGATGAATAGAAAGTTTAAAAGAACGGCATTTATTTAAAATATAATCTTTTCTAACATTATAAATGTCTGTACTGTAACTTTTGAACGAATTTAACTCATCCTTGATGAATAAAACTATTTTCTAATTTTTTTCCACCAAAAATAACAAATAAATTCTTACTGATCCCAAACGTTTGAATGGCAGTGATTAATCTTACAAAAACTTTCCATTTCATATCAATTCTGTTCTTTTGAATTTTCTATTCATCAAAGAATCCTGAAATAAAAATGTAAAAACGTTTTCAACATGGATAATAATCATAAAAGTTTCTTGAGCATCATATTAGAGTGATTTCTGTCGGATCATGTGACACTGAAGACTGGAGTAATGATGCCGAAAATTCAGCTTTGATCACAGGAATAAATTACACTTTACTATATATTCACATAGAAAACCGCTGTTTTAAATTGTAATAATTTTTCACAATATTACTTTTTTTGTGTGTGTATTTTTTATCAAATAATTGCAGCCTTGGTGAGCAGAAGAGACTTCTTTAAAAGACATAAAAAATCTTACCGATCTAAAACTTTTGTGTGTGTGTATATATATATTAATATATATATATACAGTATATTAGTTCGGCTTGTTTGTCTGGGGTATCAAAATTGGAGTCAATCGAGAATTGTGAAGTTTCACTGGTATCTAAAATATTGGTGTTTTTTTTTTTATTAGAACACATTACATGGGTCAAAACAACAGCAACGCAACTTTACACAACATAACTTCAACACAGTGTAAATAGTTTTAAAGCAGATTTGCGATAATAACACGGAAACAGACCTTGTTGCGAAATTCAATTATGAAACAACTTCACTTTCAGCTCTACAGAAGACAATATTGTCATTATTCAGCCCAATGCAGTTCTGGTTTAGTTCTCATCTGTGTATGTTTGTGTGTCAGTGTTTCCTAGCGTGCCATAAGAAGTGTCTGGAGTCTCTGGCCATCCAGTGTGGCCATAAGAAGCTTCAGGGTCGCCTGCAACTCTTCGGACGGGATTTCTCTCAGGTCCTGCAGGGCGAAGCGGAGGGCGTTCCCTTCATCATCAAGAAGTGCATCACAGAGATCGAGAGGAGAGCGCTCAAAATGAAGGTGCGAGAGGAAAAATCTTTCTGAGTGGTTTGAATGTTGACCTGCATTATAAATGTTGACTGACGAGCCAAAACATTGAAGTTGAAGATCATCTCCAACAAGGCCACACTTTAACCCTTGTGCATCCTTATGGACATTTTTGTCCTTTTCAGTTTTGTTTTTTTGATCACTTTGCCTGTGTTAAAGCTAACTGCAAAAAAAATGGCACAGGTGTGTATTTGTATTGGAATTTTACTATTTCACTGTCATTTTTTTGCATTAGGTACAAAAAAATACTCCCTCTCAGCGCCTTTTGGACAAAAATGTCCCCATTGCAACTGCCATTTTTAATCCCCGGTTCAGTTTACTATAAAATTATGCAATCTTTGTTAAGAGGCTTTCATTCTGATGGCAAGGCTTCAAAATTGTATTTTTTACTATTTTTTATCAGATGGTGCCATTTTTTTTAAGTTTGGCCTATAAACAAATATCGCTTTATTCCTGTTTTCTGCTTCGGCATATTATAGAGCCAACTGGATAAATGATGCAACGATATTTGTGTGGGTGTGTTGGTATGGATGTCAGAGTGTGGTTAGTATGTGTGTTATAAAAAAATATGTGTGTGTTTGTAATACTGAGAGAGAAAAACTGCAATCACTGTGAGCTCCAGTGGGGTTTTGCTGGCACCCAATGGGGAAAATATGTTACTACGCCCAAACAAACTGTTACCGAAAGCTCATTTTTTGAGATATCATCCTCAAATTTGGAACACAACCTATTTAGATTCATGGCTTTGATTTTATTGCAGTTTTGAGTTCAACCTGATTTATAAAATATTTATTTTATATAAATTAATTTTTATAAATAATTTTCATAAACTTATACCTATATAATTTTTTGGGGGGGATTAATTATTATTTTTTTAATTCAGCAATAATCTGCAAAAGGTCTTCTTTAAAATGATACTTAAGAAATGAAAACGTAAGTCTGTGCTCCGAAGCATCACATTTTTATGACAGTTTTTTGACAAGGACATTTTTGTCCTCAAATCTGACCTTAATTGATGCACAAGGGTTAAGGTCTGGGTAGATTAGATGATAAGCAAACGTTTTTACAATTATACTAAAAGGCTTTTACTTGCTAAAAAAACTCTGAAACACAACATAAGGCATGTAGTAGATGGTGTGCAACAGGTTTAATACCCAAGTTTCGATCATGTTGATCATTTAGAGGGCTTGATTGGGTTTCTTTGCTCATCTTCAGGGCATCTATCGTGTGAATGGCGTGAAGACCCGTGTGGAAAAGCTGTGCCAGGCGTTTGAGAACGGCAAAGAGCTGGTGGAGCTCTCGCAGGCGTCTCCACATGACATCAGCAACGTGTTAAAGCTCTACCTGAGACAGGTGAGTCACCTGACATGGGTCAACACGAGGGCTGGGTAATAAATATTAATGAATTCTCATTTTTACGAACCGATATCGATTCTTAAATCTCAAGAATCGATTAGTCGTCCTGTTTCATTTGAATGAATGGATCATTGTATCGCGGCTGCGCACATCCAAAAACTCGCAATAATCTTTGTACTTTGTTACTATTGATATGAAACAAAGTCTCAATTTTCAAATTACGTCCATTTTCTTTAGAAATTCAAAAACATAAAGTGTTTTGTCGCTGTGGCGTGAGATCGCTCTGGAGAAGCAGCAGCGCTGATCTCTCTTCCGGCTTAATAATACCAGTCACAGCGCCAAATAAACATGAAAGTGTGTTAAAGATAGAGTACAACTTATCCAAATCCAGATCATGACACATTGATTCGCTCAATCAGCGTTTCAACCGTGGAAAGACGTCAATTAAACAGCTTGTAATCAATGTCATCGTCATATTTACCTCAGAAAACCCACATAAACTCGTTAGTCAGCTAGAAAGAATAACTCTAGAGAGGAGCATTTTGCTAAATATATACACCATATTACATATGCATTATAATCTTAATGTTCTTCAATATTTAATGCATATTTGAATAAATCTGGTACGTTTTTATGACAGCCACCATTTAAATGTTTATATTTCATATAATCTTCTTATTATAAAAATAAATAAAAGTGTAATTTAAGTGTTTGTATAGCTACAAAACAGTTCATTGTTACCTTCATATTAGGTTAATGAAGCCCATTGGCTACAACTAGACAGTATTAGTTAAGAGATTTGATTTCCTTGAAAAAAATTGACATTTATTGTAACTGATATCCAAAATAATCAATATTGAATCGAATCGGAATCGAAATCGAATCGAATTGTGAAATTTGTGTCAATACCCAGCCCTAGTCAACACAAACTCAAGCTTAAGAGTATTCACTGGACAGACGTTTCCTGATCGTTTTGACGATCGTCTATAGCATCATATGTGCTGAATCAAATCCAATACTTGTTTTTAATTCATTTTGACGTTCTGATTCCAGAAATAGTGCAAATTTTACTCTTCTAAAAAATTAAAAATATACTTTAAATGTGAAATTAAAACTTCTAGTAGGCTGGCAACAAGTCACTGTTAATGAGTGAGTCTTTGAGTTTCAATTGATTCATTCGGAGAACGAAGCATTTGACTGTCTTAAAGGGATATTCCACTTTTTTTAGAGTTAAACAGTAGAGTTTTACCATTTTTGAATCCATTCAGCCGATTTTCTGATATTTAAATTAGAGGAATATCAGTAACCAGACAGTTTCCGGTCTCATTGACCAGAAGCCTACTATGGAAGTCAATGAGACCAGAAACTGTCTGGTTACTGATATTCCTCTAAATATCAAAAAATCGGCTGAATGGACTAAAAAATGGTAACACTCAACTGTTTAACTCTAAAATGAGCCTATTTCCAAAAAAAAAGTGGAGTATCCCTTTAAAGGCACCCTATTTTTTTTTTTGTCAAACAGCGCCCCCTAGAGTGGCTAGAGACGTTTTAAAATCATGTAGTGTGAACTAGGCTTAAGATGAAGATGTTCCTAAAATAGACCAGTGCTGTGTTGTGTTCATCGTCCCCGTCTCCTCCTCAGCTCCCAGAGCCCATCATGCCCTTCCGCCAGTATAATGAACTGATGGGACTGGCGAAGGAGAGCCTGAACTCGGACGGCTCAGAGGCCGGTGAGGGGGTGAAAAGCCCCGAGCTGGTGGACCGTGGGTCAGAAACAGAACCAGAGGTGCAGACCTTAGTGCAGAAGCTGCGAGAGCTGCTCAAGCGGCTGCCACACGCCAACATCTCCACGCTGAAGTACATCATCCGACACCTGCGCAGGTGAGACGGCACATCACACCATACAAACGTGTGAAAATCATTGTCAACAAATGTCATTATGGATTAGCTGGCCTGCTTACGTCACGGGGAGCGTTTACTGGTGATTGGCTGAAACAGGCCAATCATGATGCGCTCCGTCTTACACGTGCTTCTTGAAGGAAAACACGCAAGATCTCCCTCCATTTGTTTTAGATAAAAAAAAAAAAATTAATTATATGTTTTAGATGTTTTTAGTTTATATCTTCACATCTGAACAACACACCTGTGTAAATTTGTTTTAACAAAAAATATGTTGGATACATATATATTATATATATATATATATATATAAATATATATATATTTACATTAATCATGGTTGTCAACTGCCATTAGCATCATTAAAAACAATGCAAATATTGATATTTGTAAAACTGAATTTGTGGCTTTTGCACTTTTAAAGTACACTTTTACACACAAATTCTCTGATTTAGGGTTTTTAGTTACAATGAACAAAAAAATCAAATAGAATTTTTTATCCGATTAATCGAAAAAAAAAGAATCGTCCGATTAATCGATGATCAAAATATGATCAATGAGATTGTGATTATTAGACATGTCAATGCCATATTAAATTATGGATAATATTTAAAAAAGTCTAAATACTGACACTTTGCTCTGAAGTATACAAAAACTATGATATAAATATAGAAAAACTAGAACTTTACAAAATTATAAATGCATACTTCATTATATTTGTAATAATTGTAATTCATTTAATAATGGAAAATATATTTAAAAAAGATTAATTGCTAATTATTATTTTATAACTTCTTAATATATTGTGTATTTATGTTTTAATATATTAATACGTTTTATAATCTAATAATAATAGTTTGTAATTATAACATGAAATTTAATTTTTTTATATATTTTAATAATATAGTCAAATATGTAATCATTCAAGTCATATGATTTCAGAAGACAAATATATTTATAAACAAGACATGCAAAATAGTTTGGTAGTTGGAAAAACAACATGAACTATTATTTTTAACATTTTCGTGTATATAAGCGCATGTATTTTAGGTCCTGTATCTGGTCACAATTTTAACTGTGTAAATATGAGAAAAAGAGAAGTTGTTTAAAAGAGTCACTTTTTGAAATATCAAGTTTGCAAAACTGAGATTTGTCATAAGTGTTCTGGTAATATAAAACGTCACTGTATAATGTTAGCGTTGTTTTCTCTCTCTCTCTCCCAGAGTGTCCGAGTTGGAGCAGGATAATAAAATGAGCGCTAGTAATTTAGGCATCGTGTTCGGGCCGACCCTGATGAGACCCAAACCCACGGGAGCCACGGTGTCGCTCTCATCTCTGGTGGATTACCCTCATCAGGCTCGCATCGTAGAGGCTCTGATCGTCTTCCAGCAGAGCATCTTCATCTCCAGCTCCTCTTCCTCAGCCTCCTCTCCAGCCCAGAGCCAGGTCTGCACAGTCACATGATGTGATGATGGGTTTATACTGTGGTTCTGAGGCACTGATTCATGTTCTCCTCCACACAGGACTGTGAGACTGCAACCCACGAGGAGACAAACAGAGCGGATCTGGAATGCTGTGAGAGAAACATATATATAATAATGTTTATTTTTAACATTTAAAATCTGAATATTATCAAATAGTCTGTGCTTGAGTTTACAAATTAAGCATATCTGGAATGTTTTGGGAAATATATCAGAAAAAAACTTTATAAAATGTTGCTTCAGATTTTGTATTAAGAGAATCTATTAAATAAATAAACACAGTATGTATATATATATATATATAAAAATATTTAAGAATATTAAAGTATTATTTAAAAAAAAATTAAGTGGATCTGTGAAATAAAAACACCACACAAATACAATCAAATACTTATTTGATTCTCTAAAAAAAATATCTTTAATATTACTTTTAATACTATATATATATATTTACACAAATAAAGAAATATTAGAATGTTATTTTTACATGTTATTTTAAGTGTATTTAATATACATCTATAGGTTTGTAATATTATTAGAATAGTAGTTTAGTTGTAAAATGCTCTTGTTTTAATGCCTTTTTATACTTATGTTCATAATATTACAGTTCAAACTGCAATATTTGTTGAAAAATTCTCAATGTGATTTTTTACTGTTGAACGAGTGTCCTGTTCCCTCTTCTTCAGGTCACTCGGTTGGTTCGTCTGGTTCTCAGGAGCGTTCGCTGGACTCAGACTCTGATGTGGAGGAGCAGGGCAGAGCGAGAGGACAGCGCCCTCCTCTGGCGAGTCAGGAGAGCGAGACCAGCACAGAAGAAGAGCAAACCAGTCCCAGAGCGAGCCTGGACCTGAGCGCACTCCCGGAGACCATCCCGGAGCAGAACACCAGCACAGGGGAAACAGAGGAACACGACCCCGAGCAGGTCTCAGATCAGTAAGACCAGGGAGGCATTATGAGTTTAACCATTTCAACCGTTAGCCCATATGTATATGTTAATTCCCAAAGTCAAACAATAGTCACATTACAGGCATAGTTCACCCAAAAATTGAAACCCTGAAGCCATGCTAGGTGTATATGACACATACACTCCGAGTTATATTAAAAGTACCCTGCCTCTTCCAAGCTTTATAATGGTGGTGAATGGGCATTATTTTTTAAAGTCCATAAAAGTGCGTCTATCCATCATAAAAGTGCATCTATTCATCATAAAAGTGCATCTATCCATCATAAAAGTGCGTCTATCCATCATAAAAGGACATCTATACATCATAAAAGTGCATCTATCCATCATAAAAGTGCGTCTATCCATCATAAAACACATCTATACATCATAAAAGTGCATCTATACATCATAAAAGCACATCTATACATAATAAAATTGCGTCTATCCATCATAAAACACATCTATACATCATAAAAGTGCATCTATCCATCATAAAAGCACATCTATACATCATAAAAGTGCATCTATCCATCATAAAAGTGCGTCTATCCATCATAAAACACATCTATACATCATAAAAGTGCATCTATACATCATAAAAGTGCATCTATCCATCATAAAAGTGCGTCTATCCATCATAAAACACATCTATACATCATAAAAGTGCATCTATACATCATAAAAGTGCATCTATCCATCATAAAAGCACATCTATACATCATAATAGTGCATCTATCCATCATAAAAGCACATCTATCATCATAAAAGTGCATCTGTCCATCATAAAAGCACATTTATCATCATAAAAGTGCATCTGTCCATCATAAAAGTGCATCTATCCATCATAAAAGTGCGTCTATCCATCATAAAAGGACATCTATACATCATAAAAGTGCATCTATCCATCATAAAAGTGCGTCTATCCATCATAAAACACATCTATACATCATAAAAGTGCATCTATACATCATAAAAGCACATCTATACATAATAAAATTGCGTCTATCCATCATAAAACACATCTATACATCATAAAAGTGCATCTATCCATCATAAAAGCACATCTATACATCATAAAAGTGCATCTATCCATCATAAAAGTGCGTCTATCCATCATAAAAGGACATCTATACATCATAAAAGTGCATCTATCCATCATAAAAGTGCGTCTATCCATCATAAAACACATCTATACATCATAAAAGTGCATCTATACATCATAAAAGCACATCTATACATAATAAAATTGCGTCTATCCATCATAAAACACATCTATACATCATAAAAGTGCATCTATCCATCATAAAAGCACATCTATACATCATAAAAGTGCATCTATCCATCATAAAAGTGCGTCTATCCATCATAAAACACATCTATACATCATAAAAGTGCATCTATACATCATAAAAGTGCATCTATCCATCATAAAAGCACATCTATACATCATAATAGTGCATCTATCCATCATAAAAGCACATCTATCATCATAAAAGTGCATCTGTCCATCATAAAAGCACATTTATCATCATAAAAGTGCATCTGTCTATCATAAAAGTGCATCTATCCATCATAAAAGCACATTTATCATCATAAAAGTGCATCTGTCCATCATATCATCATAAAAGTGCATCTATCCAACATAAAAGCACATCTATCATCATAAAAGTACATCTATCATCATAAAAGTGTAACTATCCATCATAAAAGCGCATCTTATGAAGTAATAGTCATAAAATGCGCTTTTTGACTATTACTTCATAAGATGCGCTTTTATGATGGATAAATGCACTTTTATGATGGATAGATGTAATTTATGATGATAGATGCACTTTTATGATGGACAGATGCACTTTTATGATGACAGATGCACTTTTACGATGATAGAATATACTTTTATGATGGATAGATGTAATTTATGATGGATAGATGCACTTTTATGATGATAGATGCACTTTTATGATGGATAGATGCACTTTTATGATGATAGATGCACTTTTATGATAGACAGATGCACTTTTATGATGGATGCCCATTCACTGCCATTTTGCCTGGACACAAACTCTGATTGTGTTCGTCTGAAAGAACAGTGTCATGTACACCTAGGATGACTTCAGGGTGAATAAATCATGGGCTAATTTGCATTTTTGGGTGAACTATCCCTTTAAGAGGGTTTTGACTGATTATGACCTCTGACTGTAGAAGTGAGATCAGTGTAGTTTCAAATATTGGCTAATATGGACTGGATGCTTATATAACGCGTCTCTTTATTCAATATAACAATGCATCAGTGCAGTAGTCTGCATAAACCATAAAGAACTGGAATACAAACATATATGCCATTTATTATTTAATAACACAATTTCAAGGTGTGTAGATATTAAAAAGTCTCCATATATATCGTGATAGGAATATATAGGAACTTTTAATATTTGTATTTATTATAGTTTCATCTATGCACTGGATTTTTTTCTTTGTTTAATGACAGAAGAGCGTAAATGTTACGGTTATGTTGAACTAACAGCCGCGCTGCTGGTCAGTGCTGGCTTTAATGCGCATGTGACATTTCTCTCTCAAACATATGCTTTATTTGTAATCGTGTGTCATTTCATTACTGATATGAAGATGTTTGTTTCATCTGAACATGTTCTCTCTAACCACATGACTGAAGTCAAAACCATCGTGTCATTCCCAAACTGTATATATTTCAAGAAAACATTTATATCCAATAAATCTACTATATTTGCAGTTGGGGTTTAACTATTTTTGTGCCATGGATGCGTTCAAATATTCACAACACCGTAATAAAACCATTCCTTAAACAAAAGTTGATTTATTTTTTGATTTTTACTAACAAACATAATCCAAGATTCGAGTTTTAGGGAAATTAAATAAATTTTTGCCGTCCATCTCGGAAGAATTGCCCATTATAAACCATGAGACGGCCATGAAAAGCCTTACAGAAAAATTAAATCTTGATAAAGTTTACTGTACGAGTCTGTATGTGATGTATCGTCCAGCCGTCTCGCTGGACCGGATGATCTTCACCACCTGTCACACACACAACGTCACATTATTCACACACCACAAATCATTTTTGATTTACTAGTGTGCTCAGGACACTATTAGGGCGTCTCAAAATCGAACAGGATTTCACAAAAGTGACAGTCCTAGATCATTTATGTAAGTGAGGAGAGCAAAATAAAGCAAACTGTGACGTATTACACCCAAATATTCTTAATACAGTGAAGGGCAACACTTTGAGCTGACCATTGTGATTTTTCTTTTATTTGCTAATGCGACTGAACAACATTAAGCATGGCTTGGGGATTCAGGGTGGCCGGTCCTTAAAGGGTTAGTTCACCCAAAAATGAAAATTCTGTCAGTATTTACTCACCCTCATGTTGTTCAACCCCGTAAGACCTTCGTTCATATTCGGAACACAAATTAAGATATTTAAGATATTAAGATCGCTCCTGCATACAGTCCATAGGCTTCTTGAGGGAATGACTCTTGCTTTCCTCGAAAAGTCATTAAAGACATCGTTATAATAGTCCAAGTGACTACAGGGGCTCAATCTTAAGTTTATCAAACGACGAGAACACTTTTGTGCGCAAAAAAACAACAAAAATAACGACTTTATTTCAACTATTCACTTCCTTCTCCATAAGCCTATAGTCCGTTAACGTAGTGTGATTGCGTAGAGCTACGTCACACGTAGGCTCACTATTGGCCGACGCTGGTCATGTGTGTGTGATGCGTGTGACGTACAATAACAGAAGCTTACGCTATTAAACTAGTAACCTGACTCGCGGCAGAGGGAGAAATAAACCAATAGTTGAAATAAAGTCGTTATTTTTGTCATTTTTTTGCGCACAAAAGTGTTCTCGTCGTTTGATAAACTTAAGATTGAGCCCCTGTAGTCACTTGGACTATTATAACGATGTCTTTAATGACTTTTCGAGGAAAGCAAGAGTCATTCCCTCAAGAAGCCTATGGACTGTATGCAGGAGCGATCTTAATATCTTAAATATCTTAATTTGTGTTCCGAATATGAACGAAGGTCTTACGGGGTTGAACAACATGAGGGTGAGTAAATACTGACAGAATTTTCATTTTTGGGTGAACTAACCCTTTAACCCTTGTGCATCCTTATGGACTTTTTTGATCACAAAAAAAAAAAAAGCTAACTGCAAAAAACTTGGCACAGGTGTGTATTTTTAATTTCACCGTCATTTTCTTAAAAAAATATTTTTTGCATTAGGTACAAAAAATACTCCCTCTCAGCGCCTTTTGGACAAAAATGTTCCCATTGAAACCCATTAAAACTGCCATTTTTAATCCCCGGTTCAGTTAACTATAAAATTATGCAATCTTTGTTAAGAGGCTTTCATTCTGATGGCAAGGCTTCAAAATTTTATTTTTGACTATTTTTTTATCAGATGGTGCCATTTTTTTAAAGTTTGGCCTATAAACAAATATCGCTTTATTCCTGTTTTCTGCTTCGGCATATTATAGAGCCAACTGGATAAATGATGCAACGATATTTGTGTGGGTGTGTTGGTATGGATGTCAGAGTGTGGTTAGTATGTGTGTTATAAAAAAATATGTGTGTGTTTGTAATACTGAGAGAGAAAAATTAAATCACTGTGAGCTCCAGTGGGGTTTTGCTGGCACCCAATGGGGAAAATATGTTACTACGCCCAAACAAACTGTTCCCGAAAGCTCATTTTTTGAGATATCATCCTCAAATTTGGAACACAACCTTTTTAGATTTATGGCTTTGATTTTATTGCAGTTTTGAGTTCAACCTGATTTATAAAATATATATTTTATATAAAGTATTTTTTTATAAATAATTTAAACTAAACTTATACCTATATAACTTTTTTTTGGATTTACTTATTATTATTTTTTTACTTCAGCAATAATCTGCAAAGGGTCTTCTTTAAAATGATACCAAACTTGAGTCTGTGCTCCAAAGCGTCACATTTTTATCACAGTTTTTTGACATGGACATTTTTGTCCTCTTTTTACCTATGTGTAACTTTTTTTAATTGATGCACAAGGGGTTAAAGTCCTAAATTAAGTTAAAAAGCATTCAAAAGTCTTAAATTTAGATTCGACGGGTCACATCACCGCTAAAATGTCTCCAGTCTGTCCGTCACATAACCAGCGAAGCATATAACCATATAATGTGTGTATGCAGTATTTCCATCACAGGTTTGGTCAGTGGCATTAAAAACCTCTTAAATTTAACTTGTTTATATCTGTAGATAGACACCCTGTGATTGGTTGAGCTAAACTGGTATTATCTAATCGTGTAGTTAAATTTATATTCAACATAATTCATGTGTGAGAGACTAACAGAAGGACGGACAAAACCAGTCAAATATCACCTGATTTCATAACTCTTCTCATATTGTTTTAGCATTTTCTAAACTATAGTGAATAAAGCGTGATAATATGTGAAAAGGTGGTTTGACTAATACTTCAAATGACTTAATACCAAGTAGAGCCCAACCGATATGAATATTTGTTCCGATATATCGGCCGATATTTTTTTTTTTTCGAAACGCGCAACAAAAAATGAATTATTTATAATTATAATTATTTATGAGTTTTAACTAAAATAATATGATAATGCATTTTATAAAGAAACTTGTTCCTTTTATTGTCACAACAGAACAGACTGATGACTGAGCACCCTCTGGTGGACAAACTATACAACTCCAACACTCATGACATGGTTGAAGCGTGTTTCGTCCGTTTTTATTTTATTTTTTAAATATTCATTTATCGGCCATTATAACTGCCGATACCGATAGTTTGGAAAATCCCTAATATCGGCCGATAATATCGGTCTGCCTCTAATACCAAGTAAATGTAAAGATGAAGTGATTGTGTCTCACCTGCCCTCGTTTCAGGCCGAAGTATCGCGCCACTGGATCTCCAGGCTGAATTCTGGGTAACTGGCTCTCCTTGAGTTTACTGATGACAGTCAAGAAAAGCGCTTCGTCACAGAGAAGCCAAACACTAATCGATCTGTGTTTGGGAAACCTATTAGATAACAGTAATTCTGGCAATCAGTGTATTAACACACTCGGGATCTGGATCTGGATACTATCTGGCCAGAAGCTCGGTCACTTCGTCTCGCGTCATCACGATGTGTTCAGGGACCAACTGCAAGACAACCACGCGTCGTATATTCACAAATCAAAGATTTCCTAAATTTTTTTCAATGAAAGGATATTAAACATTTTAAAGAAATATGTCCTTATATTTTCATATTTTAAATAAATAAATATTTAATATTAAAATTAGAATGAGACATTAGATTTATTATAATTTAGTAGTTGTTCATTTTTACAGCAGATGGCAAATTTGTCATCAGTTTAAATCACAATATTTGTTAAAACGTATATATTCTCAATATGATTTTTTTATATTTTAATATTCGTAATATTTATATTATCAATTTTCTTAAATACTACACGCATTACTATACGCAAGATTTAAATATTCATATTAAAACTTTTGTGCAATGTGTTAATATAACTAATCTCAATATGATTTTTTTTATATATTCATAATATTTATATTATTAATGTTCTTAAATACTATATGCGTTAAAATATTAAATATTCATATTCTAAAATATTTGTGCAATGTGTTAACATCTCAATATAATTTATTAAATATTTTTATTCATTATACTTATATTATCAATGTTCTTAAATACTATATGCTTATAGTATTATAAAATATTTTTAATATAACAAATCTCGATTTTTTTTTAAATTCGTAATATTTATATTATTAATGTTCTTAAATACTATACACTTCAATATTTTAAATATTCATATTATTAAAAAAATGTGCAATACTTGTTAATATAACAAATCGCAATTATGATATTTTAATCATTTTTATATTCATAATATTTAATATTATTAAAGTTCTTAAATACCATCAGCTTTAATTAATATTTTTTAAATATTCATATTATAAGATATTTTAGTGCTAGGGTCAAAATTGATAAAATTCGAAGAATTAGTAGTTTTGCTGTTCTTTTAACAGCAGATATTAATCAGATCACAGTTCAAATCGCAATATATAAGTACAAAAATGCTAATTATGTTATCTTTTACTACATCTGGAGGAACGCGTCTCTCACCTCGTGCTCTGTGATGTTTATTAGCAGCTCTTGCTGGAGAAACTGTTCCAGGATGTATTTCGGTGCCATGTCCACCAAAGACTGCAAACAATTATCATCATCAACTCATATCATGCTCTCGTCCGTCTCATCCGAGGCCTCGTTAATAACCACACACACTCTGAGCCATGCGTACGAACATTATGGAGACTGCGATTCATTCACTTTAAATCTTCATTATGAGTCATAATCATAAATACAGTCAAGTTCACAATAACAGTTTATATTAAACAAAAGTTATTTCAACTACGTTTTACATCTGATATACACATTTAGATTATATATTAAATATTCATATTATAAAATGTTTAGTGCAATCTCTGATTTTTAATAAATGATTTAATACATAAATTTGTTAATAAATCTCAATGATTAAAAATCAAAATGATTTTTTATATATTCATAATATTTATATTATTAATGTTCTTATATACACTCAAAAAAATTATTTCAGTTTTGTTCACTTTACCTGAACAATTAATTGTGAACAATTAATGCCATTTTGGCTATTTTACATTTCAGCATGATTGTATCATGTTAAACTGACTTAAAACTGTCACTTGTTGGTTTAACATAAAGTTTTCATTTTAAAAGTACATGTTTCAATCACTTACATAATATTTATAATTTATTATACGCTTAATATATAAAATATTTATATTATAAAATATTTTTGTACAATACTTGTTAATATATAATATCTAAAAAAAAATCATTTCACTGTAAAAAAATATTGATGGTTTAACTTAAAAAAGTAAGTAACCTGGTTGCCTTCAAATTTTAAGTTCATTGAACTGGAAAAAGTGAGTTAATACAATGAAGGAGATGAATTTAATCATCAGAAACTCAAAATTATATGTTATCTGAACTAAATAAATTATTTAAGTTGATTTGACAAAAGAAAATATGTTGTGATGTGATAACAAATCTTGAAAACATTTTTTACAGTGTACAGCAAAGTTGCAACATTTTTTATATTCTATTAAATAGAAATTTGAGTAGTGGATTTGCTGCTTTTGAACGCTGTTTTAAATGTTTGCTGAGTGCGGGATAATATCAGAACTCGTGGTCTGAGAAATTATTTTCAGTCAATAAATAATGCACAATATCTGTTTCCACAATAAGTCAAGCAAATCGGCAATCTTCCAGATGATTTATTGGCGTGAAGTTTCGGCATAATGACAAACAGGAGCGCAGCATTCAGGGATTGAGATTAACACACTCGACTCGCCAAATGCGGCAAAAATTAACTTAGGCGGGAAACGCTGTGTTGGTCCCATAGACTGTAAAAAATATGGACAAAGCGTCTGTGACGTCACCCATAGACTCTCTGAAGAACGGGTTTGAGGCTGTTTATGGGCGGCGCCATACTGGAAAATCTTGGGAAATTGAAAATTTCAAGTATATGTGTAAAAGTTTCAGAAAGGATCCAGAGGTGGTTTGATGTGTTGTGTCAGACGTCAAATTCACTCGGCGCAACCCGTTATCAGCTGTCAATCAAAGTTAACCGCCCTTATTTGTCATACAGTTTATATCTAAATATGATCTAAACTAACGAGTTAGAAAAAAAATTCACCCCCCTCACAGTCGTCAGGCACGCGGAACGTATTTAATATTATAATAAAAGTCCATGGGACCAAACTGTAAACATATTAATTTATGCTGTGAAAACGGATATTTTAACATGACGTCTATGGATATTTGCTCCCTTTTGGGACCGGCCTCTAGTGGATTTGAGATGTATTGCGGTTTTTCGCACTTCCGGGTAGGCTTCATCTTTCAGATTAGAATGTTGCCGCTTGGTTGGTCCGATCAATTGTGGAATCGATTTCCGAACGTAAAGAGACAGCTCTACTTATGGTTATTTCGGGAGGAGACGCACGATCCTGCGCATTTGTGTCGCGCAACGCACACGGTTCTACAAGTCTGACTATGTTTTGCCGTACACCATTTTTGGCTTCCAGGCGCAGGTACACTTCTTCAGTTTTATAAAACGCGCCGCCTGATCCGCACAGGTGTGTTGGGCCGTACCTGTTTAGCAGATGGGGTCATGCCCGACTGGACCACGATAATGGCGCGCGCGATGTTTTCCTCCTGCATCCGCTGGCAGTACATCTTTATGGTCTTGATGCCCACTTTCACCTCCTCTGCGTGGATGACAGACACTGTTTATCTTCCCGCTTTTTTGCTTTGTTTATACTCTGTAGCACTTTGGGATTGTTTTTAACTATGGAAAGTGCTTTACAAGTAAAATATACTATTATTATTACTGTGATGAGCTCATATGAAGCGCTTGTATTCATCAAGCTTCTCAAAGTGACGCTGCGCTGAGAATTCATGACATTTACACCTACTTTCAAGCTTAAAGGGATAGGTCACTTTTAAAAAATCTTTTGCTGATAATTTACTCACCCCCATGTCATCCAAGATGTCCATGTCTTTCTTTCTTCAGTCGGTTTTTGATGAAAACATATCAGGATTTTCTCCATATAATGGACTTCAATGGGGTCCAAACGGTTCAAGGTCCAAATGAGAGTTTCAGCGCAGCTTCAAAGGGCTTTAAACGACACCAGACGATGAATACGGGTCTTATCTAGCAAAACGAGCGCTCATTTTAAAAAATAAATAACAAAGTTTAAGTTTTATAAGCACAAATGCTCGCCTTGCTCTGTTTTGTGATGTGCGTTCGTGACTCCTGTTCGAACTCGTTCATCAAAATGAAGTTATTTGGAGTTATTTGGTTGATTCAACGAACGAAATGACTCGAAAAAAGATTTGTTCATTTTGAAGCTGCACTGAAACTCTCATTTGGACCTTGAACCGTTTGGTCCCCATTGAAATCCATTATATGGAGAAAAATCCTGGAATGTTTTCATCAAAAACCGACTGAAGAAAGAAAGACATGGACATCTTGGATGACATGGGGGTGAGTAAATTATCAGCAAAAGTTTTTTTAAAGTGAACTACTCCTTTAAGATCAAAGACAACATCCATAATCATTACAGATGACTAGAGGTCACTCAGATGACACAGACACTTCAGATTTAGTTCTTCACTTAAATTACGACTGAGATGTTTGATAACCCTGATCTCACCTGGGAAGAAAACAAACATCTGGTCGGTGGGGTCGTCGTTGTGAGCGACCAGAACCGTGAGATCGGTCCGTCTGGGTCGGCCCTCGCTGGGACGGTCCCCGAACTGAGCCTTGAACTCATCCAAGGTCTGGTCCAGCTCGTCCTGGGTCACCAGAAACCCCCGATCATGGCAGAGCTGCAACACAAGAGGACCGGCGGGAGGTTTGCACGTTTTCTACAATTGAAATGCATTGGTAACACTTTACAGCAATGTTCATTAGTTAACGAATGAACTAACCATGAACAATTTGTTAATGTTAGTTGATTAAAATCCAGCTGATCATTGTTTGTTCACAGTGCATTAACTAATGTTAACTAATAGAACCTTTGATTTTATAAAAATATTAGTAAATATTGAAATTAATATTAACTGAGATGAATAAAGGTTGTATAAGTCCGTGTTACCCAACCCTGTTCCTGGCGGCACACCAACACTGCGCGTATTCTTTGTCTCCCTTATCAAACACACCTGATTCAACTCATCAGCTCATAATCAGGTGGGTTAATGAGCTGATGAGTTGAATCAGGTGTGTTTGATTAGGGAGACAAAGAAGTATGTTGGTGTGCACCCAGTAACAGGGTTGGGAAACACTGTGTTAACTATTGAAAAACTGCAGCCTATGCACCTGTAAAGTTTAAATATTATATTGTTTGGAAAAGTTTCCATTGTTACAATATTATGTTTCTTCTTCCATTCAATATAGTTCTCTACTGTTATACATTTAGTTCAATTTAGCATTTTTTATATTTTACCATGATTAATCATTTATTTATTAAAGTCCTCTTGTGGTAAAAATCTAGCTTTTAACGTTGTTGTTTATGTGTCTATATGGTGTTTTTAATACGCTTAAACCATGTATAAGTTCATAAGTCGACTGAGTATTTTACAAAAGACAGTCTCAAAACACGGTTTGAAATCGCTGACGTCACAAACGACCTTGTAACCAATCAGGTCAACGTATGATCGTCAACCGCTGAACTGAATGAGTGGAGGCGGGGCTCATTTGCATATTTAAAGAACCGCGCATACTAAATGAGGCGAGTGTGTCAAGTTACATTCAAGATATTTTTAAAAAGAAAGAATATTCTTAAAGGGAAAAATGTTTAAATGCGTCATTTTGGTGATTAAAGATGAGTTTTAAGGGATAAAATTAACTACAGGGGGGCTTTAAAAGAAAATAATTTATTTATACATTTCTATAATTTATTTTTACGGTTTTTGCTCTATACTAGTCTAATAATATATACTAGACTAAGATATTCCCTTACATTAAATTAAGCATTGTTAGTTTTATTACTATAGTCAATGTCTGGTACTGAATTTCATTTCATTTCTAAATGTCTTTCCATTAAACTGAATAATTATTTTAGTCTGCTGATGTTTTATTTTAGAAAAATTCATGTTTATATGTGTTCAAGTCATAATAAAGGCAAAAAGTTTCCCAATCACCCTGAATTCACCACTATATCACTCTGTGTACATCCCACCACTTATCTGTTGATGCTTGTTTATTTAATGTAAACTAGTAAACGAGTTATAATCAGTACACAGACGTAGCTCAGTCTACATTCACACCTGCATTATGGTCTTACGAATTTTCCATAATCGATAAGTCTCCTCGTCATCGTCCATTAGCGCGTGTGTTCCTGATCAAACAATCCCAAGTCACTCCGCTCTCAAACCACGCGCGCCTCCCTTTAATCAGTCACGTGACGAGGCGAAAGCTGCGTCTGTTTACTGTTTATGGAGGAGAAGAAGGACCCCTGGGATGGTGACTCATTTATTGCCAGGCACAAAATTGTCCTAAACCGGCTACACCTGAAAAGTAACCCTGCCCTTATTTTTTCTCTCTCTCTTTCCATCTTCTTTTCTGTAATTGCAGCTGTTCCAACTGTCATAGTGTAATTATATATTTTTGTTGCCATGTTGTTAAGGGTTAAGGAGATAAAACTTTGTTTTAAATGCGGCAAAAACGGAAGTTCAAAGACAATTTTCTCTACAATTGTTTTCTACAAAAATCTAAAAAAATAAATAAATAAGACCAACGGGAGTAGCTAACTGCTGAACAGAGATAATAAGATCAAGATCAGTTACATTAATTTTTTAAAATATATTTTTTAAAAGTATTACGGCACATTTGTTTTGTATTTGTTTCATTGAAATTCCAACGTAAATAATAAAAATTATAATATGTAACATAATGATAAAATTAAACCGTATTGATCATATGACTTTAAATCAGTGGCATATGCACCGTTTCTGATTGGCTGAAACCGACAGAAGAGGCGTGTCCTTCCACTAAATGGGCGGAGTCTCGTGTATCAGCGCTAGTATGTGGTTATATCAGAGAGCGCTGTTGATCGGCGCACTGGGCAGCAAGAGCTTGACTAGAGCCATGGTAAGACATTATACTCTCTCTTTACCTGCTGTTTTACTCTGTTTGAGACGCTTTTGTGTGTTTTTGAAAACTAGTTTATGTAGTCGTTGTAAGAAGGTCATAGCCCGGTGTGTTTATTTGTGCGCACCTGCGTGTTTCCGCTAATTCCCTCCGGTGGAGCAACATTAGCCCGTTAGCTTTAATGATGTCAGCTTGGTCTCTGGGGTTTGTTTATGATTTAAAATGAAATCATATCGGTTCTCCTCATGTATATATATATATATTTTTTTTTTTCACGAAACCTCTCGTTAAAGTCCAGTGTGTGGCAAACACCGGTTTAAGGCCTGGTTTGGGTTTAGCGTTGCAGACTTGTGCATGTAATCACGTGATGATAATAAGCTTTTATTATTTTATGCTATTCGGTGATCATGTTAATCAATTATATAATTATTATTATCATCAAGAGTATTTATTGATAATTTTATTGATTGGGTTTTATTAAGCCTCGTTGCATGTTTCATAAATTCATCAGTCACTTATAACAAGAACTGGCGTTTTATTATATCAGGTTGGTACATTAATTTAATCTGAGATATTTAATATCCTACTATAAATATAGCTTACAGCTTAAAAATCCTTCAACATGCTTATATTATAAAGTTTTTAAGTTCTCTTGAATAATTTGAAATAACATGAATAATTTGAATAATAAGTTTAAGTAAAACAGCATTTTTTTTTTACTCTTTCTTTTTTTCTTTTCTTTTTTTTTTTAAAGAAATGAATGTTTTTAATCAGCAAGGATGTGTTGTTGTTTTTTTAAAAAGGTTATGGGAAAGATTTCTAATTTGAATATGAATCCTTATAATATGATGCTGAAAATTCAGCTTTAATCACAGCAATACATTTCTTTTTAAAATATATCAAAATATAAAACCATTATTTTAAATTGCAATAATATTTAGGGTTTTTTTTTTCTATAATTTTGATGAAGAAATCCAGGCTTGATGAACACATGACTTCTTTCAAAACATAAAATATTAACAGATTCAGTCGCACACAATCACATCATCCGTTCAATCCTGGAAATATGATTGTCACATTAAGGCCTAAAAGCTTCATACTAATAAATAAACCCACACAACATTTTTCCTGCATAATTGCTACTCTTACACACACACACACACACACACACACGTACTCTGGACTGTCATATAAAGGCAGATCGTCTCTTGATTGGGAGTGTAATGGATTACTCTTTCAGCTTAATCTATCTCCACCTGAGAGATGTTTACGTGTTTCCCGCACACACTCACACAGGGGGAAAATCTGCTCTAGATATTGTCACAATCTAATTTTAATGCCAAACGTTTTATTAAAGGGTTAGTTCACCCAAAAATGAAAATTCTGTCAGTATTTACTCAACCCTCATGTTGTTCCAACCCTGTAAGACCTTCGTTCATCTTCGCAACACAAATTAAGATATTTAAGATATTAAGATCGCTCCTGCATACAGTCCATAGGCTTCTTGAGGGAATGACTCTTGCTGGCATCTAAAAGTCATTAAAGACATCGTTAAAATAGTCCAAGTGACTACAGGGGCTCAATCTTAACTTTATCAAATGACGAGAACACTTTTGTGCGCAAAAAAACAACAAAAATAACGCCTTTATTTCAACTATTGGTTTATTTCTCCCTGTGCGTGAGTCAGGTTACTAGTTTAATAGCGTAAGCTTCTGTTATTGTACGTCACACGCATCACACACACATGACCAGCGTCGGCCAATAGTGAGCCTACGTGTGACGTAGCTCTACGCAATCACACTACGTTAACGGACTACAGGCTCATGGAGAAGGAAGTGAATAGTTGAAATAAAGTCGTTATTTTTGTTGTTTTTTTGCGCACAAAAGTGTTCTCGTCGTTTGATAAAGTTAAGATTGAGCCCCTGTAGTCACTTGGACTATTTTAACGATGTCTTTAATGACTTTTCGAGGACAGCAAGAGTCATTCCCTCAAGAAGCCTATGGACTGTATGCAGGAGCGATCTTAATATCTTAAATATCTTAATTTGTGTTGCGAAGATGAACGAAGGTCTTACGGGGTTGGAACAACATGAGGGTGAGTAAATACTGACAGAATTTTCATTTTGGGGTGAACTAACCCTTTAAAACACTAATATATACACCACCAGTCAAAAGTTTGGGATCGGTAACATTTTTAATGTTTTTAAAACAAGTCTCATGCATTTATTTGATTAAAAATACAACAACAAAACGGTAATGTAGTTAAATATTATGATAATTTTATTTTAATATATTAATATATTACATTTGATCATATGTTCACATTGAAAACCACAGTTTTAAATTGTAATAATATTTCACAATATTATTATTTTTAATCAAATAAATGCAGCCTTGGTGAGCAGAAGAGACTTCTTTTAAAAACATTAAAAAAGAATTTCCCATCGCATATTTGAGTGTGTGATAATCTCACTCTCACTCAACACTGCCAGAGGGCCTTTCATAAGAAAAGCTATTGCATAATTGCACTATTGCGTTATAGCGCATGATTATGTCGTTATCTGTCTGACGTCATGCATAGGCGTTTGCCACAGCCCGTGACCTTTGACCTCTCTCTGTTTATTGCAGTGTGCCCAAGCCAATGACTGGAAGTCTGCCAAATCCATCTACGATTTCTCAGCTAAAGACATCGATGGAGAGGAAGTGTCTCTGGAGAAATACAGGTGAACAATGGTTTGCTAAATCTCACATCTTCATTACTAATGGTCACGTTTATTTTTTTTTTTAGTAAGTGATTTGGTTAAAAACACTAATGCGGACAGGGTTTGCTTCGTACAAGGTGCTTAAAGTGCTTGAATCTGACATTCAAGTCCTCGAAAACCATTAAAAACAGTCATATTTATGAAGAGGTCCTGGAAAAGTGCTTATATATATATATATATATATATATTAGGGCTGTGCAAAAATTAATTGCGATTAATCGCATACAAAATAAAAGTCTTTGTTTACATAATATATTTGTGTGTATTGTATATAATTATTTTGTATATATAAATACACACACATGCATGTATATATTTAAGAAAATGTGTTATTCATATATAAAATATTTATATTTATATAATATAGATTATGTATTTATATATATATATACATAATTTAAGCGCAAATAATTCTTAAATATATACATGCATGCATAGGTATTTATATATAGAAAATAATTATATACAGCACACACAAATATATTATGTAAACACAGACTTTTATTTTGAATGCGATTAATCGCAATTAATTTTTGCACAGCCCTAATATATATGTATGTGTATGTGTATATATATGGACTCTTAGTGTGCTTTCTTCATTGTGCATCCAGTTATGTTTAGTGTTCTGCTGAGTGTAATCTTGCTTTGGAAAGTGTGTCACAGTGTGTGTTTGTCTGTTTTCAGGGGTTACGTGTGTATTATCACTAACGTAGCCTCCAAATGAGGAAAGACTCCTGTAAACTACACTCAGTTTGCGGCCATGCACGCCACGTACGCTGAGAAAGGTTTACGCATCATGGGCTTTCCCTGCAACCAGTTTGGAAAGCAGGTATGTACAGTCCCAGAGTGCACTGGGGTTGGCATGCTATGTATATAGTATGCTGAATGAAATGGTGGCATGCATCGTTTAATCCAGCCACTTTTCCATTAGATTTGTGTGTAAAAGAGTCGATATTAATTCAGGTTTGTCACACTGGAAGTGATCAATGCATGCATGTTGCATTAAAGGACACCGTATTCCATGCATACTCACAAATGCAAAAATGGAATTGAAACTAAGCAGTTATGAACATTTCTGATTTAGATGTCACAAAAAAAAAAACATTGTAAAAAAACATTATTGACCCATGATCCAAGTGTCTGTCTTAACCAAATCAAAAACCAGTCAAAAAGAAATTAAGGTTTTTATAATTTAATATCCATATAATGGACTTCAATGGGGTCCAAACGGTTCAAGGTCCAAATGAGAGTTTCAGTGCAGCTTCAAAGGGCTTTAAACGATTCCAGACGATGAATAAGGGTCTTATCTAGCGAAACGATCGCTCATTAAAAAAAATCAAGTTTTATAAGCTCAAATGCTTATCTTGCTCTGTTCTGTGATGCGCGTTTGTGGCTCTCCTGTTCGAACTCATTTATCAAAATGAACGAATCTTTTTCAATCTGAGTCAATTTGTTCTTTTCGTTCGTTGAATCAACCAAATGACTCGGAAAAAGATGAACAAACGCGCATCAGGGACAGAGCAAGGCGAGCATTTGAGCTTCTAAAACTTAAACTAAATTATTTTTTTTAAATGAGCGATTCGTTTCGCTTGATAAGACCCTTGTTCATCGTCTGTTGCATTCTGGGATTATATTGCCGATTCAGGCCCGAACTTGTGTTTTTGACCGTTACATGTAAGCGTTGCCGTGTCACTATCCGTCAGACGGGTCACTGTAAGTAGGTCACGCCAGTAAAGCTGTAAGTGGATTATGATTCACTGTGGGGCGAGATTTAATCTTACAACTCCAGATGCAAATTGAAGCCTTCAGCTGAGTTCACACTCTATAATCAATATGAAGAGTTCAGATGCAAAAGCCTCTAAGTGCCATTTGAAATTTTTTTCTAAAATGATCATTTTTATCAAGCTTGTATATTTAAGTTCACTAATTTCACTTAAATGGCAATTAATAGGTAATCTTCATTGCCATTTAAGTGAAATTACTGAACTTAAATATACAAGCTTGATAAAAATGGTCATTTTAGAAGAAAATTTCAAATGGCACTTAGAGGCTTTTGCATCTGAACTCTTCATATGTTCTGAAAATATCTGACCGTCACACACAGGAAAGTGACCATTCACGACTGGGGCCATTCTAGACCGCTCTATAGTGCAAGTCTAAAATTTGCTCATAGACTAGTTAATGCGAGTTGGACTGTTTCACAAAAATAGTTTAGGCCAAAAAAATTTGACAATTTAGGCTAACTTTGGTCTCAGACTCTGTTACCGTGGCAACCAGCAATTACAAACAGCCGAAAGAAAACGTCTGTGACGGTCCACTGTATATATATATTCATCATCATTTCAGTGTCTAAGTTTCTCTTGGGGTCCTCTGGATATTTCCTCTTAACCTTAAAACCGTATTCTGGACAAATGTGGGCAAAATAGTTTTGATTTATTTTTAAAAAAAATACTTCCCTTGATCTGAGCGCTACAAGACTTGGCTACTTTTCCTAAGTTTCCTAAGTTTTTTTTTTTCCCTAAGTTACTTTTTCCTTAAGTTTGCCTCCTGAACATGCACATTTTTTTTTTTTTTTGACTCAAACCTACAATGTTAAGTGGGTGAAAAAAAAACCCTCCTTAATCTTGTATTTGGGTCAAAAATGGGCAAGAAATGAATGGGAAAAATTGTAATTGAGAGCAGTCTAAAATAAGACACCAGGTAACGGCAAAGTCACTTCATCTTTAGGTTTTAGCTTTAAGAACTTATTGGAATGATATTTTTATGTAGTTAAAATATTTTAAAAAAATAAGCATAATTTACATAGAAAATATGGTCCTTTTTGAAGTAAATAAATTCAAAAATACCCTCAAAATGAAAAAAAACCACCAGAAATGGATAGACAAAACTTTATTGAAGACAGTGATATAACATTTATAATAGTCCTCTGTGCCCACATTTGTCCACAATTACAGGATTAAGGGCTATAAAGAGAATACGGTTTTTCTGTAGTCTTTAACGCTCTGCTCAACGGTCGGATTAATGCTGTTAACTGTCAGAGCAATCTTTGTCCAAATGAAACATTTTCTTCTTGTTTCAACATTTCCCCAAGTAAAATGTCCTTGTAACGGCGACACACACACACACACACACACACACACACACACACACACATCTTCCGCTGAGGTAAACTACACCGAGCGGTTGAATGCGCTTACTCGATCATTGTTTTTTGGTAACACTTTAGAATCTTTTGTTAATGAATAACTACACAAAAACCAATGAGTAACACAATATTAACAATCTAGTAACTATTATTATCTAACAAGAAACTAGTAAGTAATAGCTCTCAGATGAAAGTGGTAATTCACTGTTTACTGATCAATAACTACTATTTTTTTAATACTTAAGAGAACCCAGAGAACTACTGATAAAGTTTTTTAACAATATAGTAACTACAATTAACAACAAAAAACTCTGATTAACGAATTGGTAAGTAATAGCTCATAAATGAAAGTGTTCATACTTCTGTGGGAATTACTAATTATTTGGATGCGTATTATAACATGACGATCATGGGAACTGACTCACGTGTTCCTACATGATCTAGTCATTAGAGATTTTTGGTGAACGTCAGTGTCTTCTAGAAAATTTCTTTAGAAGTATGTTGTAACACGTGAGTCATTACTAGTCCGTTCCCATGATCTTCACGTTATAATACGGATCCAGATAATTAGTAATTTCCACAGAAGTATGAAGTAACACTTTCATCTGTGAGCTATTACTTACTAATTCATAATCCGAGTTTTTTGTTAGTTAGTAATAGTTACTAGATTGTGTTACTCATTGGTTCTTGTGTCGTTATTCCTGAACGAAGGTACCGTAATCTAAAGTGTTACCGTTTTTTTGTTTTGAAAAGTGTCTGATTTTACCCAGAATGCATTGCATTGTAGTCCGAGTCTTAAGTGCTTTGTGCAACGGTCTGATTTAGATGATTTAGACTATCTGCTACATCTTTATCAGAAAGTTTCGTATGCTTTTTTTACCGTATTCGTCATTCATTGGCTTTGATTTGTCACAACTCCTCTCAAAATGCTTAGTACGGATGATGCACTCAGATATTTTGATGTCTGGGAAATATGGAAAGCAAATTTTCCTGTAAATACCATACAGGTCTAACTCAATCTGATCACTTATATTATTGTTTTATAAATACTGTATATATCACATCGTCCAGCCCTAAAACTTGTATACTTTTTCATTAGTGTTTATTTAAAAACATCCAATTATGCATAATATACGATTAGTAAATATTTAACTGATGAGTCAATACAATATATAGGGAATGATTTTACCCCGAAACTCAGTATATTGACTCTAAATGAAACTGTAAATCCACATTTCTGTGTCTGTGAATCATTTGCTTCTCTGATCTGTAGCTTTCAGCAGTCTGGAAAAATAAACCTCAGATTTCTTTTCAAATCTAGTTTTACCGTCAATCTCTAAAGATCTTCCCCGTTTTAGATGTTTTTCGTGGCATTCGCACACACACAACCTCTATATTTACCCAGTATGCACTTTCATCTTGATTGTGACAGACTCGTGCTCCTCTGTTCTGCTTTCCACACGTCAGATGAATGTTTTTTGGTCGTGATCTTTAAATGTTTTCATGCCTTAAAATATCTTGAATGGAACTCGACAGCCTTGCCTCATTTAGTATGCACAGTACTATAAATATGCAAATGAGCCCCGCCTCCTCTCGCTCACTCAGAGATCCACTGGTTGATCTGATTGGTTACAAGGTAGTTTGTGACGTCAGAAACACCAGCGATTTCAAAGTGTGTTTCAGCAGAAAATACTCAGCAATGATGTCTACTTATGAACTTACACATGGTTTGACAGTCGCTCAGCTCTCGACACATCAGGTCTGTCGTGTGCTCTTCTAGGAGCCCGGGACAGAAGCGGACATAAAGGAGTTTGCTAAAGGCTACAACGCAGAGTTCGATCTCTTCAGCAAGATCGAGGTGAACGGAGACGGCGCTCATCCTCTCTGGAAATGGATGAAAGAGCAGCCCAAAGGCAAGGGAACTCTGGGAAAGTGAGTGTTTTTTCTTTTGCTTTCACTTTTTTTTTTTAGCGACATCTAGTGGTGAGGTTGTGAATTGAGACAGCAGAGAGTAGCCAGTTCAGCAAAGATAAAGAGTTATATTTGCTTAAAGGGATAGTTCACTTTGAAATTAATTTTTGATATGTTTTATCTTACCTCAAGGGCATCCAAGATGTAGGTGTCTTTGTTTCCACAGTATTTTCAATTTTGACATTTTTCAGTCAAACCGTTGTTGTCTATCAGTCATACACTGGAGGCTAAGGGGCATGCACAGAGAAGTCCAAATTAAACATGATTTAATGACTCGTAAATGTAAGTACACATTGATGGCCTAAGACACGAAACGAGCGGTTTGTGTGAGAAAACTAACAGTATTTATATGGTTTTTACCTCGTGTAATCACAGTGATCTGAATCAGTTGTTCAATGCCCAACTGAACCGAACCGAATCAGTTCAATGTTACGCCGCGTGTGACGTCACTCAATATTTACACGGAGATTTCGCAGGTTTTACCTTTTACTAAACATATTTAGATATACCGAAATCGTCTTCCATTGCGGTTTCCCGTATATATAAATATGTTTAGTGAAAGGTACAACTTCCGAAATCTCTGTATAAACAAAGAGTGACGTAGCGATCACTTCCAGACCGAAGCGCCCGTGCCGTCAGATCATGTCATGGCGATGATTACAAGAGGTAAAACGATATAAATACTGTTGGTTTTCTCACACAAACCGCTCGTTTCGTGTCTTAGGCCATCAATGTGTACTTACATTTACGAGTCATTAAATCATGTTTAATTTGGACTTCTCTGTGCTGCTTTTTGAGGTGGTGACCAAATACCTCCATTATATGACTGACAGAGAAGAACGGTTTGACCTAAAAATATTAAAATTGAAAATACTGTGGAAACAAAGACACCTACATCTTGGATGCCCTTGAGGTAAGATAAAACATACCAAAAATTTATTTCAAAGTGAACTATCCCTTTAATTATTCAGTAAAACGTTCTTGTTGTTCATTATTGTGTCAGTGTTTTATTCGCAGCTTCTTTACACGAAGAACAACATAATATATATTACCTTTAACACATTGATCATTTGACATTAAATACTATTTTTGTTTCCACAGCGCCATCAAATGGAATTTCACTAAGGTAACTCTATTGTATGATGAGATTAGATGATGTTATTCTGATATTGTGAGCTCAACACTTTTTTTCCCCATAGTTCCTCATCAATAAAGAAGGTCGGGTCGTGAAGAGGTACGGGCCGAATGAAGATCCCAGCGTAAGTCAACTATACGCTGTCTCTGAAATAAGGATGCTTATTAAATGGACAACTCCGGCGCAAAATGAACCTTTGGTCTAATAACACATCAATACCCAGTCGACCGTTCTCTGAGATTTGTTTTCATGATAATCGAATGTAAAGAGTTTTATCTCTAGACTCTCTTTCGCTAGTTTATACCACTAACGAAGCTCAAAATAGCCCCACACTAACGCAGTAACATAATGAGGCGTCATACATGCAAAACGAAGCATTGAGAACTTTGTAAGTGTACAGACCGTTTAATAGGAAGATATTTCAGCAGCCATCTTGGAAAACAGTCGAACCACGAACGCCAGCTGGTCGATCACAAATACGTTTGTGAAATCTGATTACATGGAAAAAATGCATGAATTATATCTGTTAATTAAAATCTATGGCGTCCCAAAGGTTCATTTTGCACCAGAGTTGTGCTTTAACTCCAGTAACACTTTACAATAAACTACATTAGCATGAACTAACTTATCTTAGATCTCAGCACAGTTTTATCAACTAACTTGTATCAACTGTTTGGGTTATTGTTTCATTTATTAAAGTTAAAGTCCCCCTGTGGTGTAAATCCAGCTTTTAATGTAGTTTATGTGTTTTTAATACGCTTTAAGACAAACCATGTGTAAATTCACAAGTGTGGGTGAGTGGAGGCGGGGCTCATTTGCATATTCATACCGCCGCGCATACTAAATGAGGCGAGGGTGTCGAGTTACATTCAAGACATTTCAAGTTTAAATATGTAATTTTGGTGATGAAAGATGGGTTTTATAGATAAAATGATTGACTTTAACAAACGAGACCTAGTCGGTTTGATTAAACGATGATGTTTTCCGTTTCCCATCAGGCTGTTGAAAAGGATCTGCCTGCATACCTGTAGCCATCCGGATCAAACCCGATCTCCGCGTGTGTGTGTGTGTGTGTGTGGCACTCGTCTCCTCTCTGGCCTCGACTGGACGTCGGCAGGGTGAAGCCCAGATCTGTGACGGCCGTTCCTCAAGCCTGTGTTCAGGAGGGGACGGCCTGATGGCCTCCGGCGTGCAAATCCTCTGGGATCGACCCGATGACGTCCAGACGCGCTCCAGAGACGAGATCGGTGCTGAAGATCTCACACGTGCTCCTAAAGAACGTTTACATGATATTAAACCGTAGCGTCACAACATCCTCTCTGGCCAGTTCTTTCACACAGCATGCGTGTATCACACACTCTCCGAAGAGAAGGTACTAAAGCTGTCACCGGGGCGGTACATTTGTCCCTTTTAGGTACTGTGTATACAGTGTTGTGCAAGTTACTTCCAGACTGTAATACATTAGGTATTACTTTTTACTGTTATTTAAAAGTAATTCATTACCTTACAATATTACTGTCCCAGAATTGTAATGCGTTACATTACTCATGTATTACTTTTGAGTTACCTTCACCAAAATAACTAAGTAGAACTTAACTTTGGGGCTGTAACGATATGCAATATGAAACCGAAATCGCGATTCGCCACATCCACGAACCTGCAGAATCGCGACACACCTCTTCCAACTCCCAGCGTTATTCTCCTTACCGTCCAGATCCAATGCTGCCTTATCTTTAAATTAGGCTATTAGTATTATTTGAAGTTAACATTATAAAATACGTAGACCTACACCACAAAACTAGTTGAGGATAAATGATTTAAAATTGGGGAAGTCCAGCATTATGGACATGACATTTGCAGTCAAAACTTGAAATAAAAATTCTCAGAAAATGCATTGGAACGTATATTGGCTACGTCCTTAAAGGACTCCAGACATTAGACAAATATCAGTCTATGTTTTAATTTTTAACCCCTTAGCTGTCACCCCCCTTTTTGAGAATGGGGGTTAAAATGCACTATTCACACTTAAATGGTTGTAATTTAAGAATGCTTTGGAATATACCCAAGTTTGGTCTTGTTTTAAAGAAAACACTCAGCAGAATATTGCTGAAGTGAAAACACTTCAAAAAATGAAAGTATGAAAAAGTTATGGAAGTTTAAATTTACAGTAAATATACTGTACTATATTTTTTATTTTATATAAAATATATATTTTATAAAATATTTTTTACTCTAAAATTTCTATAAAATCAAAGCCATACATCTTATCAAGTTATGTTCCAAATTTGAAGTTGATATCACAAAAATTGAAGTTCCCATGAGATTTTGTTTAGGCGTAGTACCAAAAATAGCCACCGGGTGCCATTGAATTTAGTTGTATACATTCTGCCTTATCAAATTAATACATTTCTGTCCAAATATCAATTCTGTCACAAAATTTGGAAACTTGAGACTCTGACCTTTCTGACAATATCAGTTTTGTCAAGATTAGAAAAGGTTTTGATCATAAATTATTAATATAATGATGCCCAAAAGGGGAGGAGCCTGATAAAATAAGTACCGTTTCTATGGTAACGCAACTTTCAATTATAAAACAGTTTTCACAGGATGAATTCTGAGTTTATAAGCTTTCAAATGATACCTAATTTATGATAACTACTAAAATATGTGATATAATAAAAAAAGGCGATTAAAAAATAATATTATATTTTAGAGGATAATAAATATAAATATTATCATTTTTAGAGGATAATATTGTACTATAATTTTTTATTTTTTATTGAAAAATACTAGATTATATGTTTATTAAGAACTTTTAGCATAAAAACAAAAGTTTCAATGATTAAAAGTGGGTTCATCAACTTTTTGTGACAAAGGTCAAAACTCCTGTTATGATGCAGATTTTTTGAGGTGCACTCTTGTCATAAATTCATCAATTACTCTTCCTACATAATTTTTAACACAAAACAGGGGTAGAATATCTATTTAGAAGTCTTAGACCTTTCCAACAATATATAATTTGTCATAATTAGATTACGATTTAATAGAAATATAGTGAAGTAAAGTTAGGCGTCCCGGTACCGGGACTGTGACAGTTAAGGGGTTAATATTAGGGAAAAAAGACACACATTCATGCGTGACAAAAAAATAGGAGGCAAAATATATTTTTTGTAATTCTGTTAATTACACTGCGCAAATCGGATGAGGAAGGGTTGGCTCTCCAGTCTCCATAGAACTTAAAATATTCATTTTATTTTAGTTTTCGTGTTCGCATTTATGAGGAAAAAACAATGTTACAGACGCGACCGCTCTGAACCGGCACTAAAAGACTTTCACATAGTCTGTTGCCTTTAAGAAGTAAAAGCAGACAATACACTGTAATACAACTGTAATACAAGCCTCACTGAACATGTAACGAGTAAAATATTACTGAAAATTGATTAGTAATGCCTTACACTACTGCGTTACAGCAAAAAGTAATATGTTACTGTAATGTATTACTTTTGTAATGCGTTACTCCTACACGCTGTCGTGTTAGCGGCCCCTAAGTTAATAACTAATGATTGAATCACTTTATCTGGACAATAACTGTTAAGCTTAAACTATCTGTGACTTTAATTTCCTATTTTCTCTGTAAAACCGCTTTGAAACTTTCTATATTGTTAAAAGCGCTGTATAAATGAAGCTGACTTGATAATAGGTACATTTAATATGCACCCCAGTGATAGTTTTTGTACTTTTTTTTTTTTTTTGTGTGTGTGTGTGTGTGTATGCAGATTAATAGATCCTAACAATGTTGGGGGTATCATTTATAAAACTGTATCGGATTCGCCCTAAAAGTGTACATGCGGCGAAAGCCAAAAATATTCCGACTTGTAAAACCGTGTGTACGCTCCCGTTATAAATCCATCAGCGCAAGATCGTGCGTCTCCTCCCATTACATTAGGAAAATATGAGATCGTGTTGCATAATGTTGCTAAAAAAAACGTTTAATAGCCTATCCTTGCCCTGTTTTTGAAAAATATATATTTTACCATATATATATATTTATGTGGTAAAATATATTTTTCAAAAACAGGGCAAGGATAAGCTATTAAATGATTGATTTATATATATATAAATATATATGACTTGAAGCTGACTTGACTTTAGGTACTAAGAGGTGTGCTAATATATATGTAGGTATATAGGTCACAGTTTGCGTACAGGTGAGCACATATACCGGTCAAGTTTGTTTTTCTAAACTTCAGGGCCGGTGTTGTGCGACGCAACCATTATAAATGAGGCCTCGGAGCTGGGAACCAGTGTTTTTCTTTTTTTTTTACATTTCCCATGTTTTAAATTCTGAATTCGGAAATATGTGCAGGATTTTTATTGGAATGCTTGAGAATCTGTCCAATAAGAATCATGTTGGATGCCTGCTTTTTTTTTTTTTTTTTTTATTCTTGGGATCTTGTGTAATCTTCAACTGAAATCTGATTGCACGGTTTAATGAATGCACTATTTAATAAGTCTTATAGAAGCTCCAATAGGAATCCTGCACTGATTCCTGTAAGGAAAACTCAGTTGCTTCAGGACAGTGTCTGATATTAAAGGAGTAGTTCACTTTTTAAAAAACTTTTGCTGATAATTTACTCACCCCCATGTCATCCAAGATGTCCATGTCTTTCTTTCTTCAGTCGAAAAGAAATGAAGGTTTTTGATGAAAACATTCCAGGATTTTCTCCATATAATGGACTTCAATGGGGTCCAAACGGTTCAAGGTCCAAAAGACAGTTTCAGTGCAGCTTTAAACGACACCAGACGATGAATAAGAGTCTTTAAAGCTGCACTGAAACTGTCTTTTGGACCTTGAACCGTTTGGACCCCATTGAAGTCCATTATATGGAGAAAATCCTGGAATGTTTTCATCAAAAACCTTCATTTCTTTTTGACTGAAGAAAGAAAGACATGGACATCTTGGATGACAAGTGTTTTTTTTTTCTACTCCTTTAACCTTTTATTAGGGGCAATATTTTCACATGTTTTATCTTTATGAGAGTATTTTGTCCTCAGACCAGATAAAAGCACAGGGGTCCATCTAGGTCACTTTTTCAAGTCAAACTGAGATTTCATTTATTTAACAACCCATTATCATGTTCATGGGTCTCTGATGTTGGTCAGTAGTCAAGGTAAACTAATAAATCTAGTGTCCTGACAGTCAGCTGACGTAAACAGGAAGTGTCCTGGACTGATGGTGTTCTTCAGGTGTACTGCAGTGTGAGTGTCATGCAGTAGATGGCGCTGTTCACTCTCTAATCTTTTTAATCGCTAGGTTATTCTCAATTTCAAGTTTCAATTATGATTACAAGTTTCCATTTAATGTTTGTTTATGCCATTTATTGGTGTAATGTTCATTCAAATCCATCAATGCCTGACGTCTTTTTGAAAGACTTATTTATTTGAATGGCGCTGCACTGAATACATTAACATAAAAGGACGGAAAAAATAGAAAATTAAAAAAGCGATACTAGGAAAACGTGTGTTATTTTTGTTGTTGTTGTTGGTACAATTAAACAATAGAGGAAAAAAATAGTATCAACACGTAAAACAAGAACAGCCGCCAGATGAGAGAAGGAAAAAAACATCACAAAACCCTGCAATGATAATACAAGACATGATAAGCAAAGAAATAAAGGAAATATAAGCATATTAGGACAAAAAATGTGACTAAATTTAAAGAGAGCACAACAAGACAATGAATTTCAATGAATGTGAAATTTTGCTCGATACTAATTGGGAAAACGTCGCAGAGCTGCCGCCGGGCCCGGTGACGTCACCGCGGGCGCTCGAGCGCATCGGACTCTCACCACGAGCGCGCGCGCGTTGCGGTGCGGCAGCTGCCAGGAGCGCGCGCAGACTCGCGGACGCAGATCATGTTTTATTATCTTCTTCATCTGATTGTTGTAATCACCGTGTGACCGGGATCTGATGGAGGGACTGGGAGCCGCGGCCGGGGGCTGTTCCGCGGGGCCGGAGGACACGGACTCGGTGCTCGGCGCGGGATCCGGGATTGATGCTGCAGATCTCGGTATGCGCAGGATCTGGTACCTTCATTGCTTTTACATTCATGCTTGCATTTCACTAAAGCCTCGCGTTATGCGTGGCAGCTGCACCGTAACACGGGAATTATTACATGGCTGACAGAAACATATAATATGGTAATCGACCAGTGTCATGCTGTTTTCATTTGATACAATCACTGAATTTGTAGTAGCCTACCTTTTGGTTAGATTATTAATTTTCTGTTAATTTCCATATAAATTGCACTGCAATAATAATATACCAAATGCATGGTTTATGGATATGACAATATCGGTACACTGCTGTAATAATATACCAAATAGCTTACATGGTTTGGTTTATGAATATGATTATCGGTACCCTACAGTATATATTAAAAATACCACAATGTTCTTTACGATCTTTGAAGTAGGCCTACCTTATAAAGTACATGAATATCAGAATTTATAGATTTATTGCCAAATATGTTTACACACACAAGGAATTTGTCATTGTGAAGTTTATTTTTAAAATGTGTGTAAATAGAATAGAAAATAGAATAAAATAAAATTGAAATATTTAAATAGAATATATATATATATATATTAAAAAGAAAATAAATAAATTATATATATATATATTAAAATAAATAGAATAGAAATGAATAGAATTGATAAATATATATATTTAAAAATAAATAGAATATATATATATATACAGAGTATATATAATTTTATTTTTACACACACACAAACACACACACATATATATATATATATATATATATATATATATATATATATATTCGAAATAATAAAAAATAAACTCTGGATGCACTTGGCCGAAAACCTAAACCAATTAATAAATTAATGACCAATTCATATTTTAAACTTATTTAATAATCAACACTCTAATAGCTAAAACTGACTTGTACAAACATTTAATGTCAGTTTATGACAGATGTGTTCAAACATGTATTGAATAATATAGACATCACTAACAGGTTAAATAAAAATATAATGATTATGTAATCAAAATGCTCTTATGATTTTCATCTAAATAAGTTAATAAGCACATTGAATAGAGTTAAGTGACAGTGTTTCGCTTTCGTGACGTGAGAGATTGTTTTATAGACGACAAGAAGCTCAATGTCGCTTGCATTGATGCGTTGGGATGCAGTGTTTGTTTATCTGCAGGGAACGTGTGTGTGTGTGACTGTGTGTGTTTTAATGTCATGTGACGTTCGGTTTGTCCTTCAAATGAAAACACAAAGTCAATCTGAATAATAATTGTCAGAGAGTTGCCTTGTGTTGACATCTGTCTGACAGGGTGTCTCCTTCAGGTCCTGTACTTCTGATTTTAGGCTGTTAATCCTGTTTTTATCCACAGTTTTCCACACTCAGCATTCCTGTTCATCCGTGTGTGTGTCCGATCATCACATCCGCTTCCTTTATACCGCTGGGTTAGTGTTCATATTACTGTAGAGTAGAGTTGAGCCCACGCTAATACACTCTAAAAAATGCTGGGTTGTTTTAACCCAATTTTGGGTCAAATATGGACAAACCCGAAATGTTGGGTTAAAAATGTAATGTAAAAATGTAACCCAACGGCTGGGTTAGTCCATATTTGACCCAAAGTTGGGTTAAAACAACCCAGCATTTTTTAGAGTGTAGAGTTCCACAATGAGACTTGATGGAGAACTCAGTTATGTTTCATTCATTGTCTCAGATGTTTCTTCCTACTGTTGTTTAGTTTGTTATCATTGTCCATTGCCATTATTGTTGCTTGTTCATTGTAAAGCGTCCTTGAGCCCTAACTGGAAAGACGCTATATAAATAAAAAAAAATGCTGGGTCATTTCAACCCAAAGTTGGGTCAAATATGGACAAATCCAAATGTTGGGTTAAAAAATGTAATTAAAAAAATGTGCAGTTGAAAGTGAAAGTTGAAGTTGGGTTAAAATTTTAAATTACGTTTTTAACCCAACATTTGGGTTAGTCCATATTTTACCCAAAATTGGGTTAAAACAACCCAGCATTGTTTAGAGTGTAGGCTGAGAAACACTGAGCTCATATTGAGACTTGACAAATCTGAGACATTGTTGAGATTTCTTCTGAGCACATCTGAGAAAATTATATAAAAAATTATCAAAAAAAAGTGTGCTGGGCAATGGTTAATCATGTCCAAAATAAAAATTTGTGTTTACGTATGTGTGTGTACTATGAGATACATATGTATGTATATATTTAATTAATATTTGGATGCATATATTTATGAATACTTTATATATTATATATAAATATAAATATATTATATATAAATACATTTTAATACATTATATACATGTATAAGTGTGTATTTATATGTACAAAATAATTACACATAGCACAAACACATATATTATGTAAAATCAAACTTTTATTTTGGACATTAATCATTGCCCAGCACAAAAAAAATAAATAAATAATAATTCATTTGGGATTGTTTTTTCTTTCCTATGACTCGAAAGATACCGTAATTTTTAATCAGAACCAAATGATCTGGGCTTTAGGAGAAACATGCTGAAGTTCACACTTAAATGAAACACAACATAAAAACATGGTAATCAAAACTTAGTAGAAGACAAGATAACTGGGATTTCTCATCTGAGAAGTAGGAGACTTTAGCAATAGTTTCCATTAGCTCTCCATTTAATCGCATCACTCTTAAAGGGACGGTTCACCTAAAAATGACAATTCTGTCCTCGTTTACTCACACCAAGTCGTTCTTTTATATACGACTTCCCCATTGACTTCCATTGTAATTTAAATATACTATGGAAGTCAATGGGGTCCAACAACTATTCACTTACTGACATTCTTCAAAATATCTTCTTTTGCGTTCAGCAGAAGAGAGAAACTCATACAGGTTTGGACAACTTGATTGAATCATGACAGAATTGTCATTTTTGGGTGAACCGCCCCTTTAAGAAGAACTGAGCCAGTGCTGCTGTTTACAGTAAAGAGAGATGAAATATGGGATCTGATGCGTCACGCTCGCGGCCGCTGCTCTGATGCATGTTTCCACGTGTTGTGTGTGTGTGTAACTGCAAGGGTTGTGAATCGCACATGTTAAACCTGCTCTCAGATCAGTCCAGCTTATCTTGAGGAATAAATCCGCTAGGATTTGAACAAATAAATGCAGCGTTGAAGCATATCAGGGAATCACAGGGAGGAAACCGGCGTATCCCTCTGGTGTTGTTCGGTCATTTTTGACAGAAAAGTTTAGATTTTTTTCTTTTTTGACTTCATCAGAATGATGCGAAACTTGGTAAAGGTTTTTGACACTTGCTATGTGAACACAAACGCGATTCAAAAAGGTTAAACGGCCATGAGAAAAATAGTCACTCTTGTATTGTGTTCGAAAATGAGCGCATTGGAAATGAATGGATGGATATAGTGGAAGCGTTTGGTACTGCAGCCAAACTAAATATCACTGAAAACTCGTTTTTCTGAGAAATTTGGATTTCGATTTATATTACTTTGATTTTTTTGGAAAATATATTTTTCATAAAAAAAAAAAAAAAAATTTCAATGTATTAATTAATTAATTAAAACAATTAATGTACATACTGTATATATGTATATTTTTAAAGTTACATATCTCTTTATATCAAGTTATCTTTTTAAGTTGTTTTTTTTCTACTTTTTTAATCGTCTTTAAAAAAAAAAGTTAAAATACTGCATAAACACAATTTAGTTTGTCCCTAAAATACAAAATATGAAATGAAAACATTATCGAACTAAAATTCAGTTTCATTGAAATTCTGTCATTTTAGACCGACACACGAACACTACCACACTCTGAAAAATGCAATTTGGGGTCAGATATGGAGAAACACAAACTTTGGATTAAAAAATGCAATTTAAAAAAATAACCCAATGGCTGGGTTTGTCCATATTTGACCCAACCCAGCATTTTTGGGCTTCAAAATAAAGGCTCTTTATTGGCATCTTTGGTTCCATCAAGAACCTTTACTTCATGGTGGAAGACGGTTCTTTGCACTAAGAAAAAATAATGGTTATTTTAAGAACCAAAAATGGTTGTTCTAAACTCTTAAAATTAAAGCTTCCATGCAAAGTGTTTTTACTCATTAATGCAAACATCATTGTATAATCTAAAGACCCGTCTTCCACTATAAAGAAAGGAAAGATTCCATGAACGTTAACGGTTCTTCCTATTGTTTGAGATCAGCGATGTGAAGTACGAGAGGCTTGTTGTGTTCGGTTTGCTGAGACTCAATGGGTAACCTGATCTGTGTGTGAGTGACGTCTAGTACCTGAACTATAGATTTGCACACACACACACATGCCGTGGCACGACACGATTAGGAAACAGAGTGTGTTTGTGGTTCAGTAGTATCGTGATGTAATAAAGTGTACAGCTCTGCTCTTGAACTTGCGGAATTCCGTGACATTCCGTATTAAAACTGAAAATTCCATTTTCATGATGACTGGGTTCCGTGATGCGTACAATTTCTCTAAAATGTTTAGTTTTGAGATTATTGTACAATATTTTAGTTTGAAAATGTTTTTTATTTAATATTAGGGGATTCTATGGTACTACATTATTTTTATGCAGTGGTTTATTCATCAATGTATTCACTTTTTGAGCACAGTCTCTGAAGTGAAAAAAGTTTTAAAAGTGATTTTTTTAAAAAATCTTTTTGTGCTTGAGAGTGCCCGTATTGTCGAATATCCTCGTCGTGTCTTAAGTGAATATAAACCGTTTTCAATATATCGTGGATTCACTCTTAAAGTGACAGCAGCCTAATTTTCCTTCTGACGTCTGTCATTAATGATAATTAAACAACGAAAGTCAGATCTTGGCTGAATAATTTTATTAGCTTTAATAATGATTAATCTTTATTTAATGTATACAGTGAAGCCTATTGATTACTGATCAATTATCAAATTGCATTTTCACTGCTATCTAAAATTTCGCTGTGCTGTCATGAACTTCAGTGTCCAAAGAAAGAAAACCACATATG